CCCTGCTGTCCCCCATGTTCCTGGTGTCCCCCCGTCCTGAACTGTTCCCCCAATGTCCCCAGGTGTCCCCACAGCTCTCCCATCCCACGGTGTCACCATGTTCCCCTTCAGCGTCCCCCATTTCCATTCACAATGTCCTAATGTCCCTCCACCCCACAGTGTCCTCCTATCCCCCTGATCTCCCAGTGTCCCCTCGGTGTCCCCCATGTCCCCCATGGTGTCCCCGCAGGAGGCACGAGCCCGCCAGGAGCAGGTCTCTGCGCAGCTGCTGAGCGAGACGGCCATGGCGCAGGCCCAGCGCGACTTCCAAGTGCAGCAGGCCCAGTGCGACGCCGCCGTCAACGCCCGCAAGGCCCAGGCTGACCTGGCCTACCAGCTCCAGGTACGCCGGGGTCCCCCCTCAAGACACCCGGCTCTGTGTCCCCCGGGATGTTTGGGACCCCTCCTGGACCCCCCACAAACCCAGAACCCTCCCTGATACGGTCCCAGCCTCCTGGGTCCCCTCCCCAGGACACCCAGGTCCCCACAGTGTCTGGGTCCTCCCTGAAGACCTCCATCCCCCAAATCCCGGGGTCCCCCCGTAATACTTGGGTCCCTCCCTAAGAACCTGGGTCTCCCCTGGGATGCTCAGATGCCCTGGGTGCCTGGGTCTCCTCAGCACCTTGGTCCCCCCCAAAACACTTGGGTCCACCTGAACACCTGGTTCCCCTCTCCAGCACCGGGGTCCCCTGGGATGGTTAGGTCTCCCCCCAGACACTTGGGTCCCCCCGAAACACTCGGGTTCCTGGGTCTCCCCAGCGCATTGGTCTCCCCAAAACACCTGGGACATCCCCCTGGGTGCCTGGGTTCTTCTCCTGGGTCCCACCCCCCGAATGCCACCGCCCTCCATGCCCCCCACGGGTGCCGTTGTGGGGCTGAGGGGTGCCGTGGGCGCAGGTGGCGCGGACGAAGCAGCAGATCGAGGAGCAGCGGGCGCAGGTGCTGGTGGTGGAGCGGGCGCAGCAGGCCCAGCTGCAGGAGCACGAGATCGGCCGCCGCGAGCGGGAGCTGGAGGCCACCGTCCGCAAACCCGCCGAGGCCGAACGCTACCGCCTGGAGCGCCTGGCCGAGGCCCAGCGGTGAGCCCTGCCCCCAGCTGGTGGGCCCCACCTCCTTGGGTGAAGCCATGGCCCTTTTAAGGGAAGCCACGCCCCTTTAAAGAGGAGCCCCCACGCCTTGTCTACTAAGCCACAGCCCCACTATGTTGGGTCCTCCCATCTTGGGTGTGGCCATGGCCCTTTTAAGGGAAGCCACGCCCCTTTAAAGAGGAGCCCCCACCCCTTGTCTACTAAACCAGCCCCGCTATGTTGGGTTCCCCCACCTTGGGTGAGGCCATGCCCCTTTTAAGGGAAGCCACGCCCTTGTATAGCGGGAGCCCCACCCCGTTGACCAAGCCCCACTCCCACCACAGCAGCCTTAAAAGGGCATTGTCCCCCCCAGCTGCTGAGCCCTACCACTAGGAAGTCATGCCCTTTTTAAGAAGGTGGGGGGTGGGGTGGGGTGTCTTTTTGAAGGGAGCCCCGCCCCCTCCCAGTAAGCCACACTCCCGGCTGGTGGGCCCCACCCTGCTGACGTCATGGCTCCTTTAAGGGAAGGTTGGGCCTTTAAAAGGCCACGTTCCCCACGAGCTGGGGCCCTGCTGTGTCCGTGACCCTTTTAAGGGCGATGAAACGAGACCACACCTTTCCAAAGCCCCGCCCCTTCCAGAAGCTCCACCCCCCTTGTTCAAGCAGCTCCCCCTGCAGGTCGCAGGTGATGATGCAGGCGGAGGCTGAGGCCGAGGCCATGAGGGTGAGTTTGGGGGGGGGAGACAGGAAGGGGGGGGAAAT